CACCACCCTAACCTATAAGTGTCTTCCCTTGTGGATTGATAACTAATGAACGTGGCTGCTAGGGTGAAGGAGAACCAGAAGGTGTAGGTAACCCAGCTCGGTTCACTTAATTTAATCAAAAATGGCATTGTTCGGTGCGACTACCGCTAAAGTACTTTGGCGAGAAACCTGTTTCAAAGGAATTCCCGACGGAAACGTCTCAGGAGTGTTCTTCGACGCCATTGCTGTGTACTTTGGGTGGGGTTATTCCAATTCTGGGTAAAAGTACGATTTGACTGGGTGAAAGGTCACATGTGGACTCTGAGCATAGCTTTCCGGACGTGTATCCAACCTACTGGGTTGGTGAAGTGTTACTAAGAACTATCACAGAATCCATGATTGAAAGTGAGCGCTTATAGACCTTCCTGCTCGGCTCAGCCAATAGCGCGGCGCCAAAGCTGCAGTACATTCATCAAACAAAATTTCGACCTAGCCTCGGGAATATTCGAATGTAAGTTTCCCACTGGTCTACTGGACGGAAAAACTCTCTAAAATTTTTTCCAACAAAAATCTCGACCAAGAAAATGAGAATCGGGGTTGCAAAATGCTTCATACCCGGAGTGCCTCTGCTGAGATCTTTCATAATTCGCCTTTCTTGTAGGAGCTTCACGTTTTGACCTATCCTCCCCTTCTGTTCTCTTTTGCAAGCTGAGTAGAACAATTGAACAATTGAAGGGTCATGCTGAATTATAAAAGAACCTAGGAGAGCTATGGTTCTATCCGAGGCGGTGTAAAACGCTCCTGAGAGCAGACAGAAAAGAAAGCTTAGAAATAGCACAAAAAAATGAATTCTTCGATGCTGAAGTTCATTCTTCACTGGTTCTATCGCCTTTTTGCGGACACCAATGGCTGTTGTATTACGAGCCTTCTTAGTAAGGAGGCATTCTATGAATGCTTTCCAGCAAAGCACACAAGAAGTCCTTATGTCGATCCTTCCACTTCTGCCCCCACACTCTCCCCTCCCAATCAGTTTCTTGATGAACACTTACAGAATGTTTGATATGCGTTCGAGGCTCAGCCTATTGGAGTAGACTCTGGGAACCCTTTCGCGTTCGTGGGGCCAAATATTCATCCCTAATTCGACGCACCTAGTTCCTAGCGTGATTTTGTGTTTTAGAATTTTGATGCGACTACGAAGAAAAGTAACTTAGTGCTCAGCTTGAGATAGATAAACTCCAATAAGCGATCGAGGACAGGCGGACGGCGTCATAACCTGCGCTGTGTGGCTTTAAGGAAAAAATGGAAATGGGAGGCGAGGTTTTTTGAAAGCTGGCCATGAAGTAGCCATGCGACCATGGTCACATGGTGGTGGTTTTGTACAATCATATCTCGAGCTATAATTGGCGTTCAATCAGACATATTAGTTTGATAGTGATCATGTAGGCCTGTGGAAGGTAGAGTAGTGGGGATCTGAAATGTAGAGCGAAGTGGAGCTAGAACTTTTGCGATTTTGTAATTCTCGTTAGTCAGTCGTTGGCAGTGGTAAAAAATTTGATAAAATTCGAAGAAATTAAGGTGGAAAATCTTGAGTTGCTGTGAGTGCTGAAATAAGAAGATCAATTAGTGATTAGTTCTACAGAGTAGCGCTGGTCAAACAACACCGTAGGGAGGGAAGTATTCAAAGGACAGCGGCCGTGCCATATGCAGCCAGTTGTAAGGAAATGTGAAAGGCGAAACCAGCCACGGAAGGCAATCGACGGTGTAACTGAATGAGCTCTCCTTCGCTGTTCCACCTTGAGCACCTCTTATCGGTGGTTGCCCACGCAAAGGGTTTTTTAGCGTCCTGCTAGGTTCCTTCGTCTCCTCGAAGGCATTTTCTCCAAGAAAATGTGATGAGTGGTAGGGTTCGAACATGAAGTTGAGGTGTTGAGGATTGAGCGAAAGGGGAGGAAAACTGTCAAAAGCATGCGAAAGAGGTTTTATTCTTCGTGGTTGCTATTAAGCATGACGAGAGCTTACGCCGAGCCGCCTAAGACGAGGAAGCGGACATGTACGGGACGAGAGAGAAACAGATAGGAAAATGTGCACCTACCAATTAGATTTGCATGAGAGCGAATCGCAGCCTAGTGGGCATTTCCAAGCCTCTGTCACAAGCACCTTGCGTCTTGGGCGCGCTCAAATCACGACGGCAGCATACATCTTGGGTTGTACGATGTGCCTTTAAGTCCTCTATTGGGCTTTCCTCCTTTTCTGCGGTACCACGACAGATGCAGTTAACCTGGACTGTTTCAATGATCCTAACCCTATACGCTTGCCGATTGGCTCACGGTTGAAAGAATTTGCAGATCATCCATATCGATGCTGAGATTCAGGGGGTAACCACAGCTGTAGTGATAGTGAGGAACGATTACTAAACACAAACCCATCCGGGGCGTTAATTTCAAAAGTGCGCATGCCGACTGATGCACAAATGGGTAACTTTAATGTTAACCCAGATGGTTGTCGTACACTTTCTAAGGCAATTCCCACAGCTACCCGAAATCACCACAAAGCTAGATTTCTAGGTTTCAAGCAAGAATTCGTGGCAGTTTCGGTGGTGGACGGATAGGTCATAGCTTCAATTTAGCGCGAAATTTTCGTAGATTTAGGTTGCCGTGAAATTGGCTCCGTGCACAGATACATATACCGAGAATTCCGTCCACTTAAAACTACTTCAACCGAAGGGCCATTTGTGCAGTGGAACACCATAATTTAAGCGGAAGCCAGAATTTCGCCATAGTTCAAGCCAGCTTCAAGGGGCAGGCACATTTTTGGATATGCCATTTGCTTCGGAAGGACAAGAGGACCAGTTGGAAATTGCCAGGGAATGGCCATGAGCGTATGGCGCTTGGGAAAGTCTCATCGTGGATCCACTACGTTCCGCTTGTTCCTAAGATCGTGACTGGAGACACGGTCATGAAGGCCGGCTGGTCGCGCGTGGAAAATGCGCTTGTTTATAGCCGAACAGAACGGAATGACGGCATGCACTGACGGTTGCGCAAGCATTTGAAGTTGGTCATTTAAGTGAGCTCATGACGGAATCCGATATGTGCAGCGGTACCACCTTAGAGGTGGGGAAAGGGGGGGGGAGCAAAAAGGAGGCGTTTGAGCCACGGCTTGCATTATAAAATTTTTGTCGTTACAAGGTTACTAGTTGAGGAAAGCCTTGATGCAAAATGTTTCCGAAATTTCCCTTCTATAAGCGGAAAGTGACGCATGTCGCACTGCCCTTGCCGTCCTAAAATCATGAAGTCATTCGCTATCGCCGTCAAGCTCAAGGAGGTCTTAAAGCGACCTTGCACCATTTTCGTGGAGGGAAGACGGTAGACTTTCTGTTACGAAGTTGTACAATATATTTGATGTGCTCTTACACTTTCTATGGGAGCATAGGTTTGAGCCTATCAAAACTTGATTATGTCACAGAATGCCTGATTTATGAGCGAACCTTGGCTCAAGCGGGGCTCGAACCCGCATCTGTCGTTTACCGGGCAATTCTGCCACCATTCCAATACCGAGCACCATTTTACCCCAGCTTTGAAATGTCACAACATGAATTACGGTTTCGGAAGAGTAGCTAATAAAATAGTGGTTA